TTTAGAGTTAAAAAGGATCGAAGTTCAGTATTTTGTCTGGCCACTCTACCACAAAGGCCTGATTGGTGGAGTGCTGCAGAGATGGTTGTCCTTCTGGAAGGTTCTCCCATCTCCACAGGGGAACTCTGGAGCTCTGTCAGAGTGACCATCGGGTTCTTGGTCACCTTCCTGACCAAGGCCCTTCTCCCCCGGTTGCTCAGTTTGGCCGGGCGGCCAGCTCTAAGAAGGAAACTTCTTCCACTTAAGAATGATGGAGGCCACTGTGTTCTTGGGGACCTTCAATGCTGCAGAAATGTTTTGGTACCCTTCCCCAGATCTGTGCCTCGACACAATCCTGACTCGGAGCTCTACGGACAATTCCTTCGGCCTCATGGCTTGGTTTTTGCTCTGACATGCACTGTCAACTGTGGGACCTTATATAGACAGGTGTGTGCCTTTCCAAATCATGTCCAATCAATTGAATTTACCACAGGTGGACTCCAATCAAGTTGTAGAAAGATCTCAAGGATGATCAATGGAAACAGGATGCACCTGAGCTCAATTTCGAGTCTCATAGCAAAGGGGCTGAATACTTATGTAAATAAGGTTCTGTTTTTAATTTTAATAAATTTGCTAAAATTTCTAAAAACCTTTTTTTCGCTTTGTCATTATAGGGTATTGTGTGTAGATTGATGAGGACGTTTTTTTATTTAACCGATTTTAGAATAAGGCTGTAACGTAACAAAATGTGGAAAAAGGGAAGGGGTCTGAATACTTTCCGAATGCACTGTACATCATGAAGAAACGCTTTTGGGGATAAAAAAAAATTAAAATAATGTATCTTCATAATTATACGAGGAACAGTACTATACTTAGAAATAGTACCAACAGAACAATCCCTACAACAGATACATGTGTATTTTGATTTATGGCCACCTCTATAACCCAAAAACTCAAATTTGGTTCTGTTCTTCTGTAGGCAACCCCCTAGCCAGATGATTCCAACCCTACCGTTATGGTTGTGTTCTTCTGTAGGCAACCCCCTAGCCAGATGATTCCGACCCTACCGTTATGGTTCTGTTCTTCTGTAGGCAACCCCCTAGCCAGATGATTCCAACCCTACCGTTATGGTTCTGTTCTTCTGTAGGCAACCCCCTAGCCAGATGATTCCGACCCTACCGTTAAGCTGATTTACACTGAGCTGCACTGGGGTTGGAACACCATCATGGATACAGCTGCACTGGGGTTGGAACGCCACCATGGATACAGCTGCACTGGGGTTGGAACACCACCATGGATACATTAAGACACTGCGGGCAGGCGCGAGATATGGGTCGGAAAATGTACCTCCATGTAGGGATGGGATTTGCCACTGTACTCCACATTTGTGACGTGTTTCAGGAAACTCGGCGTATGTCGCGCGTCACTACTTCACAGGAGAGGCATTTTAACGTAAACATGTATTTCTTATCAAAATGTGTTTGTTTTTTTGGCAGAAATGCCTTCTGGAACATGTGAACTTTCATATGCCTTAATAACAAACTTGTATGCCATCTGTAAAAATACAAATAAAATACAATTACGAGCCTAGTTGGTTTAGCCACAGAAAAAGACAGGAACCTTCCCGCTAGCCATGATTGGCTGAGATAATGGATGGGCTGGACATGCCGAGAGATGAGTTTGGATTGGTCTGCCATGTAGCATGCTTCTGTCTATAAAACGAGCTGCTCAGTATGTGTAGATAATCCTTTCTCATGCGGCTTTTTTGAAAGATATCACGAAGAACTGCAACGAAAAAGTTGACAGAGTTTTGAAATCAGTGGAATGCAAGCTAGAAACGAACCAAAACATTGTTTAGAAAGTTGCTTTTAGTTGCCTGGTTTGCTAGATTGACATATCTTAAATTCATTTTTAATGATGGGTTTATTGGTGTTAAAATACACTAGTTTCTGCTATTTTGGACCACCTGGCTGCTGATGTTATGCAGCCTGTAGTTTTTGTCTTTATACTTTTTCATAACGAACGACAAGTTTGACGTCGGACGACAATAGAATGTTCATGATGTCACTGCGACAGCTGTCTACAGACATGTCGATAGACGTAGTAGATACATTTACATTACATTTACATTTTAGTCATTTAGCAGACGCTCTTATCCAGAGCGACTTACAGTTAGTGAACACATTTTTTATTTTTTTATACTGGCCCCCCGTGGGAATCGAACCCACAACCCTGGCGTTGCAAACGCCATGCTCTATCAACTGAGCTACATCCCCTGCCGGCCATTCCCTCCCCTACCCTGGACGACGCTGGGCCAATTGTGCGCCGCCCCATGGGTCTCCCGGTCGCGGCCGGCTGCGACAGAGCCTGGAATCGAACCAGGATCTCTAGTGGCACAGTTTGCACTGCGATGCAGTGCCTTAGACCGCTGCGCCACTCAGGAGGTACCAGCCTTCAGTCTTGAAATCATTGGTTGTTTTTAGCACATGGCCTCGTGAATCCTTAAAGAGATGAGGCTTAACAGGGTGTGAACGATGCTGAATGGGTGTAGACCAGGGTTTCCCGAACTCGGTCCTGGGGCCACCCCTTGGTGCACGTTTTGGTGTTTGTCCTAGCACTACACAGTTGATTCAAATAACCAACTCATCATCAAGCTTTGATTATTTGAATCAGCTGTGTAGTGCTGGGGCAAAACGTGCACCCAGGGGAGGCCCCAGGACCCAGTTTGGGAAACCCTGGTGTAGACAAAGAAGAGGTCTCCAGTAGGTACCAAAACATTTAAAGGGCCATTTTCTCAAAAGTGAGGCTACAAGTTTATTAACTTTCAAAGCAGAATTGCTTTCCCATTGTTCCTCACCTGTAGCATATGATGTACCATTTTCTAGCTCTGAGTCTCTACTTTTATCCAATGTAAAAAATAAATTAATAATCCAATTTTGCGACATAGGACCGAATCCAGGTGTTCGTCAGATTTGACCTTTCGTCTGTATTTGGCTACTTGAGTCGACTAGAGACGCTGCTGACAGTGTGTTTGTGAGATGCCGGATAAAAAGGCCATTTTAAAACCGGCCCGCGACTCCAACCGTGTTTACAGATATCCCCTAAACAAAAAACGACTCTGGGAGAATGAGTGCACAACTGATGAATAGTTGCTTATAGATATATGTTATCCTGTCAGGTGGCAAGCTGCCGGCAGAGACTTCGATTGCAGTAACGTTGGAGGGCTCTGGGCTAGTATTACTTAGCCAGCTAGAAGGATGAAGTAAGAAGCCAACGTTAAACGGAGCCTACCACAGAGTATAAAAAAATATATATATTCACTAACTGTAAGTCGCTCTGGATAAGAGCGTCTGCTAAATGACTAAAATGTCAAAAATGTCAAATGTCAGGAGCAGAAAATAGGCCACTAAGTTCTCATAATAACCTTGCTTTAAAGAGCGTAGGCTACAGAGACAGACAGTGGTGAGGCTGAGGCAGGAGGAAGCAGAGGAGACAGAGAGAGAGGAAGCAAGCAGAGAGTGGTTCCCAAACGCGGGGTCGGGGCCCCATGTGGGGTCCCCGGAGAACACCTGTTCTAATCTTAGCAAACAAGTTAGGAACAACAACAACAAAAAAAAAAGTTTCAATATGAACATCTCCACATGGCCTATCTTCCCTATAGGCCGACATTAACATGCAATCGACATGCAAACAATACAGTTCTAAAAATGTCAGACATTTTTGTTTATATCAATGGTTCTTCGTCTCATCTCGATCACCGACTGGAGTTTATAGTTTACCCATTACCCACCTTTTTTACCACTACATTGCTGATATTAATACAGAATCGTAAGTCATATTCTAATAATTCATGTGGATGTGATGATATGATCATCTGTGTGCTCCATTGATGTCTGTTGGTGCGGAGCGTGATTAAAATGTCTAGGAATACAAAAACGTGAATGCTATGTAATTTGAGAAAAGAGATATCTATGTAAAGAGTTGATGGTTTTATGCAATTCATCATTACAACTGACTGAATAGTTGCTGATGCTACATGTCAGTGTGAATAATGTATTATTTCCCTCTTTCAGGGGTATAAAATTACAACTGTATGACTAATAGACTATATGTTTGTATATGGACTGAGGTGAATGAACCTACAGCCGCCAAGGGGATAATGGCTGGGGGCATTTTTGGCTTGTTGTTGCTGTTCTCCAAATAGCATTTCAACGTTTTTTTAAAAATGGTATAGAAATGCAGTAAATTAGCTTCAAAAAACAATTTCCAAACAAAAACGTCACAAAATGACAATGTGTGCGCCAACTGTCCTGAACTGTTTTGGATGGGAAGCATGCCGAAGCCTTTAAGGCCCTGATCCCATCCCTGCAATGACTTAAGTTTTCCTACTCATATCTCCAGCCTGTTCTGTGGCATCTTAATTTAACCGTGATTGCGTTCTGACCCCAGTGCAGCTCAGTGTAAACAAGCGTAATGGTAAGGTAGGAATCATTTTACTAGCAACTGCCTTTTCAGAAAAACACAAACTTGAAGGCAGCAGTTCGGATAAAGGGCCCCGTGTAGCTCAGTTGGTAGAACATGGCGCTTGCAACGCCAGGGTTGTGGGTTCGTTTCCCACGGGGGGCCAGTATGAAAAAATAAATAAAATGTATGCACTCACTAACTGTAAGTCGCTCTGGGTAAGAGCGTCTGCTAAATGACTAAAAATGTAAAATGTACTTTAGCACACATAACGTAATTATCATGAAAATGTTCCAACATCACGACTAAAAAATTCAGTGTGGTTTTATAAACATATTCAAACCACTGATTGGGCGTGATAAAAGTTGAGTGTTTTTTAGCCTACTTACTAGTCGATGTTCAAGTTCACCAAAGGGTTACTTTGTTACAGTAGCTATGTAGACGTTTTTGTTTCGCGGTAAACTACAACAGATCGCTTCATTGTTTCCACCCGCTCATACCACTAGGCTACCCAAACAACAACTTGTAACAATTTAGCAACTTTATACCCGCTGAAATAGCTAGTTAAATACCTGGTGAAGCGCTGTCAGCCCGTCTATATTGGCGTGGTTGATGTCAGCGCCCTGTCGTAGGAGCGCCGCTACCTCCTCTGTGTCCCCGGCCGAACAGGCAGCCATAAACACCGCTCCCTGAGCGAACCGAACCCGGGCCCGCCGTGTCCCGGTTCCCATTGACCCATCCCGCGTTCCTGGTCCCGTCTGATCGGTTTCCGATTCCAGCCATCGCTGTAACTGATCCTGCCGTCGCTGCTTTGCAGCTTCAGACCGGGAACGGTCAGTGGCCGCCATCTTTCTCGGTCTCTCCGGGGTAGATTCAGTTCATGTTGCGGGGAGAGGCAAAGTGGAGATGCATTAGCTCCTTTCCGAGAGACTGCGCCCCCTGGTTGTAGCAACTCGACATGACAGTAGGATACCAACCGAACCTTGGAAGGACTGGGCATTCTCCGAAGAGTATCCGGTCGGCCAACCATGATTTCAGTACAGTAAAAAAAGCAGAGGTGTATTCATTACGGAAACCGTTTACTGTTTAAGAACCAAACGGAAGCAAACAGAGCAAAACGAGTTTCTATTGGACAAATTCAGGTAGGTCCCTCCCGTTTCGTTCAGTCTGCTTCCCTTTAAGAAACGTTTTGCAACAGAATAGGCGGAATGAATACACCCCAGGCATGATGACGCATTGTAGAACTCCCACGCAGGCAATAACCCCTTCATGATAAGCTGTACTGTGTGTAATGCAAATACAATAACGCTCCAATATTAGCCCAGGCAAAACATCCAGAAACAAACTTTAGCCTGCACCCATGCGAAAGTGTGCTGTTTATGCTGCATATAATACATAATGTCATGTCAACAGTTGGCCCTTGAGAATCTATAACTGGAAAATATTATCTGAGAGGTCATGGAAAGTTAACCTTATATAATCTCCTATGACAAACATATTTTTTGCAATATTTTTTGCAATATTTTTTAAAATAATAAATCAAAGTCCAACTGAATTAGCATTTTATTTAAAGTAATTAAGACACTTAGAAATTCCAAGATTAGTAAACATTGTAAGCATTTACATTTATTTAAAAATCCAGACCATAATTTACGTAATTTCATCTGCAGTTAAAGCATATACTGTATGCAAGTGAATCATGCATATCATTCACTGGCTCTTTCTTTGATTCCCTACAGTCGGATGGTGAACAATTTCCTACAGTCAGAGAAGGTGAACCCACAGTAAGAAGCAGTCTAGCGTTGGAGATAACAACACCACAGCTGTTAGAGATACGTACTGCAGTCTGCAGTATTGACCAATGTGTGTGATAAGAAAATGATCTTGGCTAATAACAGACACATTTCTATTTTCAGTATTTCTCTCATGTGTTCATTCATGTAGTCTTTATTTTATAGTATTCAGGTGCAGTAATACATGGTGACGTGTGAAATGTATTCCCGTTGGATCTCATTGTACATCATTCCCTTTTCAGAGCCATGCTGATTGTTATTAAGACAGAATCAAGTGTCCGTGTACATTTAAATACTGTAATAGCAAAGTATTGTAATACTACTCTTATAAATATTAGCAAAACAAGTTGACCTATACAAAGAGGTACAAAGAAACAGTACAATTGGTTCAGAATGAATACTGCATTGGTTGGCACATGCATTGCATAGAGTCCCTCATAGTCATTAGTTATACATAGCTGTTTCCCCCCCCCTTTTAACGATGCCCTTGGCACCTTCTGTCCAGACAGCAGACTTGCTGGGTCCGTTCACTTGGCACCAAACATTTAAAAAAATACTCTGAAACGAAAAGTCCCAATGAGAAACGCTTGTTTGTTTCTGTTGTCTGTTTGAGAACGTTTTTTTTTTTTGCGTCGGTGTGCCCTGCTGAACATGACCCTGTGTTTGAGTGGAGAGAGTCTGCTGACTGGCGTAACTTCATTCCATCAGAACACAAAAACACACTAAAAAACTGTCCTGTGTTCATGTGTCCAGCCTGTGTGTGTTGGTGCATGGTTGATTGTTTATGCCTACATAATCACAAAAGATAACTTATTTTTTTTTTAAAATCATGAATTCTTACCCTGCATCAATTGACATGCTTCTGAAAGTGGTATTGACACATCTGTTGTTCATTATATCATTTATATTATTAAATTATATTTAGGAATTTTCTCATGGTTTACTGTAAATAATTGATAAAAAAGGAAGATCCCAACTTCCCACTAATGAGCACTACCCTTCTGTATCTATGGCCCTGTCACACTGTACAGATTCTAGCTTAAAATACTGAATGTTTCTCTTACATTGTTTAGACAGGAAATAAAAACATTAAAAACATAGCAATAGTAGAAACAGTAGGACTGGTTTCCCGGACAGATTAAGCCTAGTCCTGGACTAGATCATTCTCAGTGGAGATTCTACATTGAAAGAGCTTTTTAGTTCAGGGCTTGATCTGTCTGGGAAAACCGGTCCCAGAAGTCAGTAATGTAATCATAAAGCCTACCCCTCCCCTAACTCCTGTTCTAATCTAGAACGTTCAGTTTGGGTCATCAGAGTAGAGTCATCAACACGACTGGCCCATTCCTTTACGCTCCAAAGGAAAGGCAAAGGGCTTTAACAGTGATGTCATCATCAACACGACTGGCCCATTCCTTTACGCTCCAAAGGAAAGGCAAAGGGCTTTAACAGTGATGTCATCATCAACACGACTGGCCCATTCTTTTACGCTCCAAAGGAAAGGCAAAGGGCTTTAACAGTGATGTCATCATCACGACTGGCCCATTCCTTTACGCTCCAAAGGAAAGGCAAAGGGCTTTAACAGTGATGTCATCATCACGACTGGCCCATTCCTTTACGCTCCAAAGGAAAGGCAAAGGGCTTTAACAGTGATGTCATCATCATCACGACTGGCCCATTCCTTTACGCTCCAAAGGAAAGGCAAAGGGCTTTAACAGTGATGTCATCATCACAACTGGCCCATTCCTTTACGCTCCAAAGGAAAGGCAAAGGGCTTTAACAGTGATGTCATCATCATCACGACTGGCCCATTCCTTTACGCTCCAAAGGAAAGGCAAAGGGCTTTAACAGTGATGTCATCATCATCACGACTGGCCCATTCCTTTACGCTCCAAAGGAAAGGCAAAGGGCTTTAACAGTGATGTCATCATCACGACTCGATCAAAATAAGTTAGGGGGACAATCCCTTAGTCATCTTTAATGACTTTTGTTAATAAGAAGTACATGTCAATATATAAGGGGGGGGAGGGTGGGGGGGGGGGGGAGGGTGGGGGGGGGGCGTGCTGAGAGTCAACGGTAGGCAGGCTATAATCTATGCATCCGAATTGCGAATGGGAGGCGCGCTTTATGTGTTGAGTTTGAGAAATAAAAATAGCTCCTTTTTAATCGTGGCCACCAAAGTTTTTAACACACGATTGCATTTAGAATTGTTATTTGTTGTGCATGACTGGGCTTATAAAGGCAGGTCTCACTCGAGTAGCCACAGGAGCTAGTCTCTGTATGCTGTCTGACAGGTGATATTCCTCTCCTCTAACTAGTCTCTGTATGCTGTCTGACAGGTGATATTCCTCTCTAACTAGTCTCTGTATGCTGTCTGACAGGTGATATTCCTCTCTAACTAGTCTCTGTATGCTGTCTGACAGGTGATATTCCTCTCTAACTAGTCTCTATATGCTGTCTGACAGGTGATATTCCTCTCTAACTAGTCTCTGTATGCTGTCTGACAGGTGATATTCCTCTCCTCTAACTAGTCTCTGTATGCTGTCTGACAGGTGATATTCCTCTCCTCTAACTAGTCTCTGTATGCTGTCTGACAGGTGATATTCCTCTCCTCTAACTAGTCTCTGTATGCTGTCTGACAGGTGATATTCCTCTCCTCTAACTAGTCTCTGTATGCTGTCTGACAGGTGATATTCCTATCCTCTAACTAGTCTCTGTATGCTGTCTGACAGGTGATATTCCTCTCCTCTAACTAGTCTCTGTATGCTGTCTGACAGGTGATATTCCTCTCCTCTAACTAGTCTCTGTATGCTGTCTGACAGGTGATATTCCTCTAACTAGTCTCTGTATGCTGTCTGACAGGTGATATTCCTCTCTAACTAGTCTCTGTATGCTGTCTGACAGGTGATATTCCTCTCTAACTAGTCTCTGTATGCTGTCTGACAGGTGATATTCCTCTCCTCTAACTAGTCTCTGTATGCTGTCTGACAGGTGATATTCCTATCCTCTAACTAGTCTCTGTATGCTGTCTGACAGGTGATATTCCTCTCCTCTAACTAGTCTCTGTATGCTGTCTGACAGGTGATATTCCTCTCCTCTAACTAGTCTCTGTATGCTGTCTGACAGGTGATATTCCTCTCCTCTAACTAGTCTCTGTATGCTGTCTGACAGGTGATATTCCTCTCCTCTAACTAGTCTCTGTATGCTGTCTGACAGGTGATATTCCTCTCCTCTAACTAGTCTCTGTATGCTGTCTGACAGGTGATATTCCTCTCCTCTAACTAGTCTCTGTATGCTGTCTGACAGGTGATATTCCTCTCCTCTAACTAGTCTCTGTATGCTGTCTGACAGGTGATATTCCTCTCCTCTAACTAGTCTCTGTATGCTGTCTGACAGGTGATATTCCTCTCCTCTAACTAGTCTCTGTATGCTGTCTGACAGGTGATATTCCTCTCCTCTAACTAGTCTCTGTATGCTGTGCGCATGTCACAAATAAAATGCATGTTGACTAACAGAAATACACACGCGCCAATTTAATTCCACAAAATTATTCAAATGAACCTATAGACCGATGAGCATTAACGGTTAATCGTTAACATCCCTAGTCCTTGAACATGTTTGGTGTCAACAGTCACCTTAACGACTTAATATAAAGATGTTAACGTCAGCACATTGAGATGAGCTGAGATGATGCAGATCAGTGCATGGTTCCTGGGTGTCTCGGTATCTAGTCGGCATCCCCTGGGGAAGTGAGGGAGTAGAAATGCTACTGAAAGGCACTGTGTCACCGATGATGAGACAACACACATTGGTGTCCTGTCCTCGGGCCTCCCGAGTGGCGCAGTGGTCTAAGGCACTGCATCGCAGTGCTAACTGTGCCACTAGAGATCCTGGTTCGAATCCAGGCTCTGTCGTAGCCGGCCGCGACCGGGAGACCCATGGGGCGGCGCACAATTGGCCCAGCGTCGTCCAGGGTAGGGGAGGGAATGGCCGGCAGGGATGTAGCTCAGTTGGTAGAGCATGGCGTTTGCAACGCCAGGGTTGTGGGTTCGATTCCCACGGGGGGCCAGTATAAAAAATAAAATATGCACTCACTAACTGTAAGTCTCTCTGGATAAGAGTGTCTGCTAAATGACGTAAATGTAAAATGTCCTTGAAGGTGCCTACCTGGGTGTCTTAAGAGCTAGTTTTTAGAATCTCTGTAATACTAATCGTCATCCCCAGCGGCCCTCAGAGTCTCCTAAACGGAATACATTATATTACTACAGTGAGGCTGGAAGAGATGCAGTAGAGTTGTGGTTTTCACTGAGCCTCCTCATCATCAGCCCCATCCCCTCCACCTCCTCTGGGTCTACGATGGGGGCTGTAGGGGCCAGGGCTGGTCTTGGCCCTCCTTCCCCAGCTCTGGTGGACCCTCCTGGGCCTGGGGTCCCACCTGTTGGACCCCCGGTGTAGAAGGAGCCCCGGAGGTCCAGGTTGACACAGAAGGAGCCCGGAAGCAGCTGCCTCTGGTATTGGTCCAGACGGCTGATAATATCCAGGACAGAGGAGCTGCCTCCACTAACCCAGCCAGGGAGCAGGCCGGCAGGGAGGAGCTGGGCAGGCAGGGACTGGCAGTGATGTAGCTCCAACTGGTAGGAAAACCTAGAGAGAGGGAAGCATAGAGAGAGGGGGAGAGAGAGAGAGAGGGGGAGAGAGAGAGAGGGGGGGAGGAGAGAGAGAGAGAGAGAGAGAGGAGAGAGAAAGGGGAGAGGGCTTCTTCTCATCTCCCTCTCTCTCTTTTTTCTCTCTCCCTTTTCTTTTAGAAGAGTGTGAGTATCTCTCGCCTATCTAAGGTAGTCTCCATCCTCTTCTCCTCTTTTTCCTCGCTCCCTTTTTCTCTCTCTCTCGCTCTCTCTCTCTCTCTCCTCTCTCTCATCTCTCTCTCTCTTCTTACGGACCTCATTCCTTAGGGGCATAAGGCGTAAAGAGTGTGTCGGATCCTAGAGGGATAAGGTAGACATTATGAGGACTTACAGAAAGTGAGTTTTTTGTGTTTGTGAAAATCTATACAAGATGAGTAGGAGGGTGTCAGGCTCCCACTCCACTTTGGAGGGTGTCAGGCTCCCACTCCACTTTGGAGGGTGTCAGGCTCCCACTCCACTTTGGAGGGTGTCAGGCTCCCACGCCACTTTGCTGTTTTTGGTGTATTTTAGTTTTAACTGTTACTTTGTTTGCTCAAAATATTATATTAGAGCTACAATTTTATCATATTTTATTGATTGAGCTTTTACTTTCTTTGTACTATTTTATTCACTTAATTACTGTCTTATTGTTGTTGCATTGTTGACCTGCAAGGAAGCATTTCACTGCACTGTGTACTAATACACAACTTCAACTAATTGTGTACAAACGGTAAGGGAAAATGGGGAAAATGTCTGTCTGTCTCTTTGTTTGTCTGTGTTTCAGTGTGTGTGTGTGTGTGTGTGTGTGTGTGTGTGTGTGTGTGTGTGTGTGGCTTCTCACTTTGCAGAGACCCTGTTGGACACAGACTTGGTGGCCCGTGTCACAGCACACTGTAGCATCTTAACCATCTGTTCTCCAATCCATCCCACATCCTCCTGCACATCAGGCAGCCATTCTAACAGTCTGGGAGGAGAGAGAGGGCTTTAGAAATATACCATGATAATATTAATAATAATAATAATAATAATAATAATAATAATAAGCCGTTCTAAAAGTCTGGGAGAAGAAAGAGGGCTTTAGTAATATATAATAATAATAATAATAATAATAATAATAATAATAATAATAATAATAATAATAATAATAATAAGCCGTTCTAAAAGTCTGGGAGAAGAAAGAGGGCTTTAGTAATATATAATAATAATAATAATAATAATAATAATAATAATGAGCAGACTCCAGGGGGAGGGTCTAGGGTCCAGTCTTACCTAACAGTCAGGGACAGAGCAGACTCCAGGGGGAGGGTCTAGGGTCTAGTCTTACCTAACAGTCAGGGACAGAGCAGACTCCAGGGTATAGGGTATAGGGTCTAGTCTTACCTAACAGTCAGGGACAGAGCAGACTCCAGGGTATAGGGTATAGGGTCTAGTCTTACCTAACAGTCAGGGACAGAGCAGACTCCAGGGTATAGGGTCTAGGGTCTAGTCTTACCTAACAGTCAGGGACAGAGCAGACTCCAGGGTATAGGGTCTAGTCTTACCTAACAGTCAGGGGACAGAGCAGACTCCAGGGTATAGGGTCTAGTCTTACCTAACAGTCAGGGACAGAGCAGACTCCAGGGTATAGGGTCTAGTCTTACCTAACAGTCAGGGACAGAGCAGACTCCAGGGTATAGGGTCTAGTCTTACCTAACAGTCAGGGACAGAGCAGACTCCAGGGTATAGGGTCTAGTCTTACCTAACAGTCAGGGACAGAGCAGACTCCAGGGTATAGGGTCTAGTCTTACCTAACAGTCAGGGACAGAGCAGACTCCAGGGGAGGGTATAGGGTCTAGTCTTACCTAACAGTCAGGGACAGAGCAGACTCCAGGGTATAGGGTCCAGTCTTACCTAACAGTCAGGGACAGAGCAGACTCCAGGGTATAGGGTCTAGTCTTACCTAACAGTCAGGGACAGAGCAGACTCCAGGGTATAGGGTCTAGTCTTACCTAACAGTCAGGGACAGAGCAGACTCCAGGGTATAGGGTCTAGTCTTACCTAACAGTCAGGGACAGAGCAGACTCCAGGGGGAGGGTATAGGGAAGCATCATAGTCGTCACCATCCTGACTGGCAGCAGGTTGCTTAGCGACTGGCCCAGACTGTATCTCTCCTTGCAGGCTTCCACCAGAGCTACAGAGAGAGACAGAGAGAAGAGAGAACACTTAGAACACTCTAGAACCAGAGCTACAGAGAGAGACAGAGAGAAGAGAGAACACTTAGAACACTCTAGAACCAGAGCTACAGAGAGAGACAGAGAGAAGAGAGAACACTTAGAACACTCTAGAACCAGAGCTACAGAGAGAGACAGAGAGAAGAGAGAACACTTAGAACACTCTAGAACCAGAGCTACAGAGAGAGACAGAGAGAAGAGAGAACACTTAGAACACTCTAGAACCAGAGCTACAGAGAGAGACAGAGAGAAGAGAGAACACTTAGAACACTCTAGAACCAGAGCTACAGAGAGAGACAGAGAGAAGAGAGAACACTTAGAACACTCTAGAACCAGAGCTACAGAGAGAGACAGAGAGAAGAGAGAACATTTAGAACACTCTAGAACCAGAGCTACAGAGAGAGACAGAGAGAAGAGAGAACATTTAGAACACTCTAGAACCAGAGCTACAGAGAGAGACAGAGAGAAGAGAGAACACTTAGAACACTCTAGAACCAGAGCTACAGAGAGAGACAGAGAGAAGAGAGAACACTTAGAACACTCAAAACACTCCCTGAATACACAGCATGCTACAATACACCTCCAGAGTTACAGAGAGAACCAAGAGAACAGAGGTAGAGACAGGCAAGAGTACAATACACTCACTAAAAACATTACCTAAACACATGAGAGAGTTACAGAGAGGGGATAGAGTACAATTCACTGACTAAAAAAAGTACCTAAATACATGAGGGAGTTACAGAGGGAGGCAGAGAGAACAACTCACTCACTAAAAACATTACCTAAATATATGAGTAGGGCTGTGTCACACTCTGGCTCCAGGACTTGTGTATTTGAGCCAGGGTGTATGTTGTTTGTTGGGTTTTGGGTGTAATTTTATGTTTGCATGTCTGTCACGTTTATTTCTAGGTGAGGAGTTCTGTTGTGTCTATTTCTAGGTTGTGGTTGTGTTTCCTTGTTTGTATTCATTGACTCCCAATCGGAGGTAACGAGTGTCAGCTGTCGGCTCGTTATCTCTGATTGGGAGCCATATTTAAGATGTAGGTTTTCTTGTGTTAGTTGTGGGTTATTGTTCCATGTTCCAGTGTCTCTGTTTATTGGACTTCACGCATCGTCTTTGTTTTGTTTTCGTGAGTACGTTTATTAATAAATCATGTTCACTCGCAACGCTGCGCTTTGGTCCGCTTCTTCATATGTAGACGATCGTGACAGAATAACCCACCAAAAGAGGACCAAGCAGCGTAACAAGCGGCAACAGGACCTACCTCCAACGGATTCATGGACATGGGAGGAGATACGGGCTGGAAAGGGTCCTTGGCCACAAATGGAGGAATATCACCGCCCTCGTGAAGAGCTGGAGGCGGCTGCAGCCGAGAGGAGGTGGTACGAGGAGGCAGCGCGGAGTCGAGGCTGGAAGCCCGTGGTTACTCCCCAAAAAATTTTTTGGGGGGGGCACATGGCTTGGGCGCCTGGGCAGCAGGAGGCTGCCACAGGTAGAGCTGGAGAGAAGGCATTCGGATTACGGGAGCCATTGGCGAGTGGAAGGAGGGAAGTTGTTGTGGCACGGCATGAGAGACTGAAGTGTGTTCCCAGTCTGGTCCGGTCCATTCTTGATCCCCAGTTAAGGCCAGTGGTGGGTGTTCCCGGTACGGGCCGGTCTGTTCCTACTCCACGCACCAGGTCCACGATGTGCGTCGCCAGCCGGCCAGAGTCTGCCGTCTGTCCTAGGGCGTCTGAACTGCCCGTCTGCCAAGCGCTGCATAAGCCGCCCGTCTGTACTGAGCCTGCAAAGCCGTCCGTCTGCCATGAGCCTGCAGAGCCGTCCGCCAGACAGAATCAGACACCTGCTATGGAATCAGCAGGAGCCGACGCAGCCCATACTAGACTGGAAGCTCAGGTTCGGAACCAGAAAGAGCAGATCCTGCAGATGGGAGCCGCCCTACTGGAGGTGATGACTGCTATCCGAGGCTGGGGTCCGCCTCCACCGCCAGCCTCCCAGCCAGCACCATCAGCCAGCCATGAGCAGCCAGATCCGTCAGTCAGCCATGAGCAGCCAGATCCGTCAGCCAGCCATGAGCAGCCAGATCCGTCAGCCAGCCATGAGCAGCCAGACCCGTCAGCCAGCCAGGATCCGCCAGAGCCGTCCAGCCAGGATCCGCCAGAGCCGGCCAGCCAGGATCCGCCAGAGCCGGTCAGCCCGGATCCGCCAGAGCCGTCCCGCCAGGATCCGCCAGAGCCGTCCAGCCTGGATCCGCCAGAGCCGTCCAGCCTGGATCCGCCAGAGCCGTCCAGCCAGGATCAGCCAGAGCCGGCCAGCCAGGATCCGCCAGAGCCGGTCAGCCCGGATCCGCCAGAGCCGTCCCGCCAGGATCCGCCAGAGCCGTCCCGCCAGGATCAGCCAGAGCCGGCCAGCCAGGATCCGCCAGAGCCGGTCAGCCCGGATCCGCCAGAGCCGTCCCGCCAGGATCCGCCAGAGCCGTCCCGCCAGGATCCGCCAGAGCCGTCCCGCCAGGATCCGCCAGAGTCGTCCCGCCAGGATCCGCCAGAGCCGTCCCGCCAGGATCCGCCAGAGCCAGCCAGCCAGGATCCGCCATCTAGTCAGGTACTGCCCCTTAGCCCGGTGCTGCCCCTTAGTCCTGTACTGCCCTTCAGCCCGGTGCTGCCCCTTAGTCCGGTGCTGCCCCTGAGTCCGGTGCCGCCCCTTAGCCCGGTGCTGACCCGTAGTCCGGTACTGCCTCTTAGCCCGGTGCTGCCCTTTAGTCCGGTGCTGCCCCGTAGTCCGGTACTGCCCCTTAGCCCGGTGCTGCCCCTTAGTCCTGTACTGCCCTTTAGTCCGGTACTGCCCCGTAGTCCGGTGCTGCCCCTTGTCCCGGTGCTGCCCCTTATCCCGGTGCTGCCCCTTAGTCCGGTGCTGCCCCTTAGTCCGGTACTGTCCCGTAGTCAGGTGCCGCCCCTGAGTCCGGTGCCGCCCCTTAATCCTGTGGGGTTGAGTTGGGGGGTGGTCATGAGGAAGGGAGGACGGAAGCGGAGAGTGACTAAGGTGGGATGGGGACCACGACCAGAAGCAGAACCGCCACCGTGGACAGACGCCCACCCAGACCCTCCCCTAGACTGTATGCTGGTGCGCCCGGAGTTCGCACCTTTAGGGGGGGGTACTGTCACACTCTGGCTCCAGGACTTGTGTATTTGAGCCAGGGTGTATGTTGTTTGTTGGGTTTTGGGTGTAATTTTATGTTTGCATGTCTGTCACGTTTATTTCTAGGTGAGGAGTTCTGTTGTGTCTATTTCTAGGTTGTGGTTGTGTTTCCTTGTTTGTATTCATTGACTCCCAATCGGAGGTAACGAGTGTCAGCTGTCGGCTCGTTATCTCTGATTGGGAGCCATATTTAAGATGTAGGTTTTCTTGTGTTAGTTGTGGGTTATTGTTCCATGTTCCAGTGTCTCTGTTTATTGGACTTCACGCATCGTCTTTGTTTTGTTTTCGTGAGTACGTTTATTAATAAATCATGTTCACTCGCAACGCTGCGCTTTGGTCCGCTTCTTCATATGTAGACGATCGTGACAGGCTGTCCCTGACAAAATAAAATCTTGTTGGACCGAGAGTTGTCTGTTGGTCAACATAAACGTGTATTTTTCCCATATATGTTTGAATAAAACTATATGTAGGCTACTGAGCTTGTCTGATGCTGTCACGCCCTGACTCTAGGGACTTGTATTGGTTGAGTCAGGGTGTGTATTTTCTGTGTTGGGTTTGTCTATGTTAGTTTCTAGATCGTTTAGATCTATGTTGGCCAGGGTGGTTCCCAATCAGAGGCAGCTGTAGCTCGTTGTCTCTGATTGGGGACCATACTTAGGTAGCCTGTTGGCACTAGTGGGGTGTGGGATCTTGTTCCGTGTGAGGTATGTTATTTGTCTACCTTGGACGTCACGTTTCGTTTGTTGTTTTGGTTGTGCGTTTATTTCATGAAATAAATATGAATGCATATCACGCTGCGCCTTGGTCCTTCTCGTTCATGAACGATCGTGACAGATGCTTTAAGCACTGCGATTGAAAATTAAGACGCACAAAATACTAAAGAGGGAGCCAGAGATCAATATAGCCTAACAGGAAGGAAGAAACCTGTTCCCGACTCTCTTCCTCCCGCTGCTCCTGGCCTTCGCAGATTCTGCCCTTTAAGCTCCTGAAGTGGCCGGTAGTAGGCTACACCAGCGGTCGGTTTTCCTTTTCCATTCGGAGCGCCAAGTTACCGTACCATTTCTACAGTTATGGTTTTCATATGCACATTTTCGTGGAAAACCAGTTTCATTTCATTTATAATAAAGTCTTCATATCTCAACATCAATGTCATGTGGTTAATCTAAATTCAATTTAAATGAAAATGATACAAATCTAAATGTAACTTCCATTGCCGTTGCCAACTATGTAAAAATAGCCTCCATAAAGCCAACAAATAAAAACATTGCAGCCTGCAGGTAGAAAATATCCTGATAAATCACATTGGCAATGCAGGCCTGTCTGCAAGGAACTTGAAACATTGTATCAACTATTAACTTGGTCCAGCCTGAAGCTGGTGCTAGCAAACTTGCAACATTGTATAAAATATTCTGGGCCCTCAGAGTTTCCCGAGCCAGTGAGCTCCAGACAGAGATACACAGCTGTAGGCTATTTGCGTAAGGGATAAGAAGTTATCAGGTAGGCCTATTTTATGACGTTTCCACTGGATCAGAGCATTATATTTTTTTCCCCTTTCATGCTGAGTGGTTATTGAAAGGGAGAGAACTGGAAAGATGTGAGCTACAGAGAGAGCTACAGGAGAAGCTATAGAGAGAGAGAGAGCTATCAGAGGGTAGACAGTGGGGAGCTTACAGAGAGAGCGTACGAGAGAGATACAGAGAGAGGTACAGAGAGAGACA